AAATGGGTGTTAAGAAAATTCAATCCAGATTCATTAATCACAAGATTATGCTTCAATGATATAATTATATCAAAGGTGTGGATTGATAGAGAGTTGTCACTCCATCCTGAAAGATCAATACCAGGAAGAATGGCTAGTTGTGCATTTGATTTGATTATACATACTTACAATGAATTTTGTCAGAATAATATATATAATATAGTTAGTCGATTATGTTGATACGATTTACAATTAGGATTTCCATATTAATATCTACATTTAATAATTCAATTTCACTAATTAAACTAGTGAGTGTTAACAATGATTAGTAACGTGATTTGATTTAGTGAATTAGACCAACGTTGGTTAACTGATGAGTGTTAATGAAGCATCGTCAAAAGGTTAATCGAAAATACTGGTGGTATTATTGTAATCGTAAACATAAGGCTGTTAAACAAGCTACTTAAGTTGCTTTGCAAGTAAACCAAAACGAGTTTGCAATCGGCTAATAAATGTAAATGAATAAATCGATCACAATGAATAAAAGGAAACTTATAGAAGCCTTTGAGCTTTGTAAATGCTATCTTTATTTACTTGCAGTTATTTGGTATGCTCATATATTCGTCTAGGTGGAACCAATTGACAAGCACCGAATTATTGTGAGTTGCTTGCGACTAACTGACGAAAGTAGTCAAATACTTGTTAAATAAATTGGTATTAACCAAAAAATGATACCTCGCAATATTACCATTTAATATTATTTCAAAATAATTTAGCTTTAAGAAATAAATAAAAATAAAATAAAAAGATAAATAATTATAACGAATAATTTATAGTGGAGATTAAATTAGTCATTCATCGATTCCTTCTTTTAATTATTAGAATCTAATGCAATCAACCAATTGTAAATAAAAATATTGTTAGTGATAAGTAATTTCCGATTAATTAATTAATAATGAAATTTTTATTCACCTTTTCAGCATTTAAGAGGAGAGTTAAAATCAAGATTATTTAATGAACTATCATTACTTGTATAAATTTTCAAGCTTTTTGATTTAGCAATCTCCTCATCTAAGATTCTACTTTTATGATATGCATCTGGATGTGATTCGTGTACTTGTTGCGAATCACTACCACCACTATTGCTGCTGCTACCATCATTATTAAAAAATTTGAATAATCTATTTATTAAACTATTATTCTTACTATTGTTTTTCAAACTTTCATTTTTAAAAATTTTCTTATGTTTATTTTCAGCAAAATCAAGAAGCTCTTCACTAGTTGGTCTTTTTGATGGATCCACGTCCCAACACCTCTGCATCATTTGGACATAATCATCAGGCATTCCAGGCAGTATTGGTGGTCGTAAACCTTCACATATATCAAAAATCAAACGATGATTGTGAGCTCTATTGTCAAATGGTGGGTGACCTGCAAATATTTCCCACATTAACATCCCAACACTATAGATATCTGATTCTTTGGTGTTCTTTGTATTAATTTTGCCTCTAAGTAGTTCAGGTGCAACATATGATACAATCCCATAGACTTTATTTGATGACTTTTCATCAACTGGTCCACATAATCCCAAATCTGTAATATAAC